AATGGAAACAACTTCAGCCGGACCGACTCTTGAGATATGTTATTAAAGGAGAACGACCCACAAACATCAACAAAGTTCCTTATGTGCTCATGGGGATCCTCATGAGCCGAGCCACCAAACAACCCTTTCAATTGCAAGAGCTGCAACATGGTGCTAGTAATGTGGAACACGGTGTTCCCTTCAGCTGGAGGCAAGCGAATGGCACCAACACCACCGACTAGATTAGGGTCATTAACATTCGGCTCATTTACATCATTAAGATTGCCGATGTCATCTTGGTGGCCCACTTGGCTACCATTGCTTCTGTTGACACTTATTTTCTCTGCAATAAAACAACAACGCAAAAACCAAAACTAAAAGTAAGTAGATTCAACTATGACTAAAAAGAACAAAATTCAACTTCACCAAAAGAATTTCAAACTACACCGCTCCCCGGCAGCGGCACCATTTCCATTAATCGTTTCAACGACAATTCATCCAATTCTAATTGTCAACGATTGTTACTCAGTATATAACCCAACTAAATGAGTTGGGGTCGAATCCTACAGGGAGCAGTACGTGTATAAGATTCAATTGAGAAGTATCAACATGTTCAAATAAGTCATAGGAATAAAAGTTATCAAATAAAAACATCATTCAAATAAGGGGGTGACACGAATGTCAAATGAGGGGTTTTGATTTTAATTATCAACTTCAAACAGTGCCAAACAATATGAGATAACAATAATGAGACGGGTTCTTGGGATGCGATTAGATTATACGCTAATTTAGATAAGTGGGTGATTGCAACTATTAAAAAATAGCTAAATATCAGTGAGTAAGCTAGGCTATGGAGGAGATAAACTTTCTCTCAAAAAATTTACCCCCGAATAAAGTTGATTTCTCTCGAACATCAACAAGCATGCAAAATAAGAATAGCCCACACCTTAGCCCATTCACTCTCTCGAGTTGAAAGTGTGGGATTGGGTTTAGGATTCACTCTCTCAGTTGGACCCAGGTCAACCCAATACCCACTGACTATCAGTCAAAAACTTAGTTCTAAAACCTCTCTCTCGAGCAAGCCACAAACACAAGGCTAGAACTGTATTTGCAACTACAATTCTTAAATTAAACCAGATTTAATGATTGAACTCACTTCTAAATAGCATTTAAACTAACAATTAGCAATACCCATAAACTAAATCAACCCAAAATCACATAATCACACCCCAAGAATTTAGGTTTTAGCTAGACATCATAAAAAGGTAAAAACCGTTACCAAATTGATTATCCATCTACTGGGTAAGAGTAGATTCTTCCTTAAAATGCTCCAATTCAAAGAATCTCAAAGACCCACTTCCAATTTATCAAAAGTGAAAAATTTCAGTTCTTCAAAGCTTAGGAAAAACTAGAAAAAAATTGTCTCAGTTCTAAAAATATGAGCTATGATAAGATATTATGATATTAGATACTAAACTAAATGTTCAAAAATGTATTTATAGTCGTCAAAAATGTGTTGGGCAGAGTCACTTGACGAAGTAAGTCGGGCTCGTCGAACCACTCGCGGAGCCGCCCTTTGGTCACTTTCATCGTCTCTCTACCTTGGCATTCAGCATCCTCAAGGTCTGTAACTTTGGGCGATCCAGCACAACATCGCGAAACTACTCGGTGATCTACCGACTGCTCCTTTCCGTGGCCAACTTGATTTCTTCCCTCAGGGCTTGGCACACTGGAACTTCAGGTGGTCAAATAGCCACTCTGCGATTCGTCGAGTGATCTTGGCGATCACCAGGCAGCCTTTCTTCATCCTTTCAACCTATTTTATTCCTTTTTGCTTGTTAGTGTCCTTTCTTTGTTCCTCAATCCATATACCTTAAAATCAAGGGTTTTACATCAGTTATTAGCACAAAATAAGCTTTTGAGGACACTAATTCTACATAAACAAAGCCCTAAATAAGTCCAAATCTTGGACTCATAAGCACTTGAATCTACCCTTTCCAAATTCTTTCCGCTTGTTTGTGGTTTATAAATAACAATTTAATGCAAGGATCAATTATTTAAGGTCCAATTATCCGAATTATAACAAACCCAATAACCTAATACCAAACCAATGATCCTAATATGCAGCTAGGGCTATTTTCCACCATCAATTTTAGTCTAAAACCCTCCCCCAATAATAATTAACCAAGAATCTAAGTTCTACGGATCGAAAAAGGGATTAGGGAAGTAAAATCCTTACCTTTAGTGCTAGAATAGGTGGAAAACCTTCAAGAAATACCCATGGGTCGTCTCTTAGCTCTCAAGAACAAAACTTGCAGAAAATAACGTTTTTGGGATTTAATTCGCGACTATGCCGCTACAGCATACCCCATCCCGCCACATCGTCCCCGCCCTGGTGGGAATAATCCCCCTACAACGGCTTACACAGAGACAGAGAATCGAAATTAGAGTTTCAAACCCCCATTTCACAACACATCTTCAACCCATGATGTTGGAAGACTACCCTTTCATGCTAAGATCAGTTTTGGGAGTTCCACTTGCTTGAATTTGGTCATGTAAAGTCGTACGTGTTCCTTAACGTCTTAGCTATCTACTCATGTAATCCAAATCATTATTAAATCGCTTATTCATTACTAGATTTCCCTAGACCTCACATGACTCATATTTCGTCCAAATCTGGACTAGGATAGGAATTTCCAAATTACTACAAAAAACATTTCTCACCCCAATTCTTTCCACGTTGGCTTTACAATAATGACAGGAACAGTTCGTTACAATAGATATCAATTTACCCATCACTCGTCCCCGAGTGACAAACTAGGAATAAAATGGGCTAAAGTAAGGGTAGAGTAGTACGTGAATCGTCGAACAACTAGGGATACCTATCTCGCATGTCCTTCACAGCATCCCAATTAGCTTCCTCAACTGGACGATGCTTCCATTGAACTTTCACCAACTTTATCTCCTTAGTCTTCAGCTTCCGAATATCGCGGTCAAAAATTGCTACTGGTTCTTCCTCATACTGAAGGTCTTTGTCAAACAAAAACTGAGTCCCATTTGATGATATAATCTCTGTCTCATGATACTTCTTCAACATGGACACATGGAACACTGGATGAACTCCAGATAAGCTAGGTGGTAAAGCCAATCTATAAGACACTGGTCCTACACAGTCAAGAATCTCAAATGGACCAATGTATCGCAGACTAAGCTTGCCCTTCTTGCCAAATCTCATCACTCCTTTCATGTGTGACAGGTTAAGAAGAACATTCTCACCAGTCTGAAATGCCATGTGTCTTACCTTATGGTCTACATACTTCTTCTGTCGAGTTTGGGCTGCTAAAAGCTTAGCTTGGATGCTTCTTACCTTATCCTGAGCATCTTTCACCAATTCAACCCCCAAAGGTTTTACATCTCCATCTTCAAACCACCATACGGGTGATCTACATCCCCTCCCATAAAGTGCTTCGAACGGTGCCATATCAATGTTGGAGTGGTAATTGTTATTATAGGAGAACTCGCAAAACGGTAGGAACTTATCCCAATTCCCTCCAAAGTCAATCACACATGCCCTCAACATGTCCTCTAATACCTGAATAGTCCTCTCCGACTGCCCGTCTGGCTACGGATGGAAAGCTATACTAAAAGTGGGTTGTGTGCCTAATTCATCATGTAATTTCCTCCAAAACTTGGATGTGAAATGTGTACCACGGTCTGAGATGATAGAAAAGGGCACCCCATGCAGCCTTACTATCTCTTTCACATAAACATTAGCCAACTGCTGAGCATTATAGTCTATTCTGACTGGAATAAAATGAGCTGACTCAGTCAACCTGTCAACCACTACCCAAATAGAATCAAACTTCCCCAAAGTCTTGGGAAAACCAACCACAAAATCTATAGCGATCCTTTCCCACTTCCATTTTGGAATTGACATTCTTTGGAGAAAACTTGCAGGCCTTTGATGCTCATACTTTACCTGCTGACAGTTTTGGCACTTAGTTATAAACTCGGCTATGTCTTTCTTTATGCCAGGCCACTAATAAAGTCGCTTCAAGTCTCGGTACATCTTGGTCACACCCGGATGAATGGAATACCTCGAACCATGAGCTTCTGTCAATAATTTCAAAATCAAGACATCAATTCAAGGAACACAAACCCTTCTTGTAAAGCTGAGCACGCCCCCCGCTTCAAGAGTGGTATCTTGTGCATTTCTAGACACTGTCTTCTTTCTGAGCTCATTCAAGTTGTCTTCCTCAAATTGTTTGGCCTTGATCTCCTCAATGAATGTAGCCTTCACCTCAATGCTAGCTAAAACCCCATGTTTTTCTAATATGCCCAACTGCATGAACTTAGATTCCAAGGTTTGAATTTCCTTAGCCAAATGTCGCTCGAATAGACTCAAGCAAGCTAGACTACCCATACTCATCGCCTTTCGGCTTAATGTCCCTGCCACCACGTTAGCCTTACCCGGATGATACTGAATGGTCTCATTATAATCCTTAAGTAACTCCATCCACCTTCGTTGTCTCAAATTCATATCATTTTGAGTAAATACATGTTGTAGACTACGATGATCAGTAAACACCTCACACTTGACACCAAAGAGGTAATGCCACAAAATCTTAAAAGCAAACACTACCGTTGCCAACTCTAAATCATATGTTAGGCAATTTCTCTCATGCACCTTCAACTGTCGCAATGCATAAGCTATAACATTTTTATCTTGCATTAACACAGCACCCGAACCCGAATGTGAAGCATCACAATAAACAATGAAATCCTTACCTTCCACCGGTAGTGCCAGGATAAGTGTTATGGTCAAAAGGGTCTTGAGCTTTTGAAATCTCTCTTCACACTCTTTAGTCAATTCAAAAGGCACCTCATTTTTGGTCAACCTTGACAAATGTGTGGCAATAGAAGTAAAAATTTTCACAAATTGACGATAGTAGCTAGTGAGCCCGACAAAACTCCTAACTTCAGTCACAGAGCTTTGTCGGACCCAATTCTTAACCGCTTCAATGTATTGGGGATCTACCATTACCCATTTCCTTGAAACTACAAGTCCCAAAAAGGTAACTGAATCCTACCAAAACTCACACTTAGAAAATTTGGCGTATAAATTTTGTCTCCCAAGAACACCTAGAACAATACGAAGATGGTTGGCATGCTCATCCGACACTCGAGAACCATTGTTGTCCCCCAAGCGAACCCTCATCTTGGCTGACTACAAGCATACAAAGCTTAAAACTGAATAAAATTCATTGAACTAAATTACAAAATCTTTAACTCAAAAGATTAACTCTGAATAAAATAGTATATTCAACTCGCCAGAAATTTTTGATTACTGCAACTAACTTTTGTCCTCCAAATTATGCATTGCGTAATGGTAATGGTGGTTGGTGTAATCCACCTCATACTCATTTTGATCTCACCATGCCTATGTTCCTCAATATCTCAAAGTATCGTGCTGGTATCACCCCTGTTGTTTATCGTAGGTAAGCATTTTTTCAAACTTTGTTTATATTATAAGTGTTAATTGATAACCCGATAAAAATAAGGCTTTTTCTTAAAGAATATAACTTATGTATATCATATGTATTTGTTTAGAAAGTCTATAGATATTCAATATTCGAAATCAATTGATGGACTAATTCAGATTCATGACGAGTGAAGCCAAAAGTGGGAAAAGAGCTTAATTAGCTTTTTTGAGCTTTTCTTGTTTTTTCATTTATTTGTGTTTTCTTGTTCTTTTTCCTTTTTCTTTTTCTTTTGTGGGGTCATGTTGAGTTGGTTTCCTTTATTAGTTTTTTGTTTGATAGTTATTGAAGTACTCCCACCGTCTCATTTTATGTGAGACTTTTCGGATTTCAAGATTCAAATAAGTTTATTTTTGACAGTAAGTTTTTCATAGCTTTTTAAAAAAAATTGAATTATCAACTATTATGACTTATAGTATTTTTTACCTAGTTTACAAATCTATAAATTTCATTTCAAAAAATTTGAACATTCCATGTGCAAATTACCGGTCAAACTTACACTGTTTGACTTTCAAAAAAAAGAAAGTTCTACATAAATTGGGATAGAGGGATTAATAGTTATTTTATGTCATAGGGCATTGTTATCACTTGTCAAAGCTGGGTGTGAACTACATTAATCATTTTTTTCTAAGGGTTATCAAAAATTTGAAGTGAACAAGTAAAAGTGAACAGATGGATGCACTAGTAATGAAAAATTTGAAACATTTTGTTTGTGGAAAATTGGGGAACTTGTCTCCATTTGAATGTCAAACTCTAAACCCCTAGGTGGTGTGAAAATGTCACAGCCAAAGTGTTTTTTCCATCCTTAATTAATGTAAAACTTGAAGGCCGTATAGAAAATTTTCTCGTGTGTATTTACTGCGTAAAGAATCCTGTATTTATACTACTGTGGAAAATTAAATAAATCTTAACATATACATTATTTGTCTAATTCCAAGCCGAGCCCATCCATGCCTTCTTCTACGACACAATATCACTCTTGGCCCATTTGCTTTTCTCAAACAAGACATCATCAGACATATTCATCTTCTCTCTGGTGAAATTAGAACATGCTATCAATGGTTGAGAAGATGGTGTAGAAGAAGGCTTAATTCCAACATCCCCCCTCAAGGTGGAGGGGAGCGGAGTGAGAACCTGACTTGCTTAGAACTCCATGATGTTGCGGGCCATGAAGAGGCTTAGTGAATATGTCAGTGAGTTTCTCTTTGGAAGGAACAAAAGATAGGGAAATGATCCCTAACAAGTACTGTTGACGGACAAAATGACAATCCAACTCAACGTGCTTCTTCCGCTCATGAAAGACTGGATTTCATGCGATATGAATGGCAGCAGCACTATCAGAGTGCACAGGTACAAGAAGTTGAGGCGGAACAGAGAGATCATCCAATAATCGAGTAAGTCAGGTTAATTCAGCCACCAATTGACGCATAGATCGATACTCTACCTCTGTGGAAGAGAGGGATATAGAGATTTGTTTATTGGACTTCCAAGAAATGGGGGAACCCCCTAAACTAATGAAAAAACCACTGATAGATCTCGGTGAGTCTCTACACGAAGCCCAATCCATATCACAAAAAGCATTAAGGGAAAAGGGTGGAGAAGAAGAAAAGAATAGACTCTGATGCGGATACTGTTTCAGGTAACTTACAACCCTCAAAGCTCCATGATAGTGATCAAGACTTGGTTTTTGCATAAATTGACCGAGAATCAAAACTGCATGACATATATCCGGTCGTGTATGAGTTAAGTAATTTAACTTACCAATGATGTGCCAATATAAGGTTGTTCTTCCATATACTCTACTAATTCTATGACAAATTTCACTGCAGGATCTAATAGAGAGGCAACTGGAGGAAGATGTGAGACATCAAATTCGCACAACAAATCAGAGGTATATTTCTTTTGACTGACTATCAAACCATGATTGTCCCTTAAGATTTCCATACCAAGAAAGTAATGCAGGGACCCAAGACTCTTGATCTTAAATTCTGAATTAAGAAAGACCTTTAGATCCTCTATCACAGTGTAGCATCTCTAGTTATCAATATATCATCACATAAATAGCCACAATAGCAATAGTATCCCCTACTTTCTTAAAGAAAAGAGAATAATCAATCAAAGAGGCAATAAAACCTTTGAAACTGAGGGCCCCTGCAAGTCTGGCATACCATTGCCTAGAGGCTTGCTTGAGACCATATAAAAACTTTTGTAACTTGCAAACCAAACTAGCTTTAGGAGGATCAACACAAATTGGGAACTTCATGTAAACTTCTTCTTGCAAATCTCCCTGCAAGAAGGCATTATTTACATCAAATTGAGAAATTTCTCAATTCTTCTTGGCTGCAAAGGCTAGCAAACATTTGATAGTGGTCATTTTGACCACCGGGGAAAAAGTCTTATTGCACTACTAAAAAACATGCCTGTAGCAACAATTATTTAGCAACAACTAAATATGCGTTGCAATAGACAGTAATTCACAACGGTTATAACCTTTGCAATAGACAAATGGACCTAATGAAACACTTTAAGAAGTAAATCGTTGCATTATTGTGACAACCGTTGCCATAGTATCTTTTATTGCAACGATTCCTACAAATTGTCGCCTTAGGTACTCTATGGCAACGGTTCCGCCAAACTCTTTCCCTCAATTATTTCCCTCTACTAATTTTACTACACCCGCCAAAAGAGTTTTTTTTTAATTAATTGTAAAAATAAAATAAAAGGTAAAATATCACTAGGTTAATTTGTTTCTTCAGACTTTTCATCCTCGTAGGTATCGACTTTCTCCTTTCTCTCTGAAGAACAAAAGTAGCATTTTCCTTTAATCCTTCTTCTTTGATTTTCCTTGTAGGAATCTGCAGGTTTTGGGTCTTCTTCTTCGTGGGTTTTACGTTTCTGTAGCTACAGGTATGTCGTATTCCATCTTCTTCAAAGTAAGAAATTTATTAGAAGGGTTCTTGAAAAAGATTTGAAAATAGACAAATGGATTTCTGTGAAGTAGATGTTCTTTGCTAGAGTTTATGTTTATAATGTAATCTTATTGTGCATTAGAGTGTGTATCTCAATTTTGGTGAAGATTGAGAAATCTCTGCAAAAATGTTTAGATGGAAATTCTCAGTTTATGAAGAGTTAATGTTATGAAAGATGAGTTTCGATTCCTCATTCTACATGATAATTCTTATCTATCAAAAAACCTCAAGTTTTTGAACAGGACAAACGATTTCTAAGAATAAAATGAACTGAAATATTTTTCAACTCCAAAAGTCATTGAAATCGAACATTAAGGGATTTTGTTTCTCTCTTTCGAGTTCAATTTTTAAGCTCTAAGTTTATACTTTCTTCCTTCTTGTCTAATTTTTTTAGTGGACAAACTACAAGTTGGTCATCAAGCTCAGCTCACTGCTTAAAAAGAGGTAATGTTCCTGTTTCTCTTATTTTACTTTGATGTATATATGTGTGTATGTTAGATATTTTACGTTTACTTATCTCTGTTCGTTGTTTCTTATTCATTTTTTAGTTAAATCATTCCATATGACTGTGTTTTTCAGATTTAAGGTCTGTATTGTAAGTTTAGAATGTTGGAAAAACTTTCACTTTATGCTTTATTGTAAAAAATATTTCATGATCAATTTTCTCTGTTGTGAGTTAAGAGCTTCAGAAACTAGATCATTCATGTTACTTTCTGCCTTAGTGAACTCCATCTCGTCCATTCATTCCCTAGTGTACCAATGCAAGAAAGCTTTTCTTCTAAACATAGTTGTGTAGTGGTGGTGTGTATTCTTCTTGAAATGAAAACAGAAGTCTGAGGTCATAGCTTTTTTAATGATTGTCATTAAGGTTACCAGGTGCTTTTAACTAGCATTACTAGTTCAGGAATACATTGGGCAGACCTAGCGTCTAGTTGATGATAGAATAAGGTTTTGATTATGAAACCAACCTCTTTATTCTTTGAGCACCGAATAAAACTTTAGGTATTGAGTAGTTCTTTGTTTTCTACTTTAATATTCTTTTTGTGATAAATATTGTATTTTCTGTTTTAAGATCATTTTTGCGTTTGGAATACATTGAGTAGATCCTTGGTGTAGTTGAGCACAAAATAAGGCTTTGAGTGTTAACTCAACCTCTCTAAGGCTGCTCCTAGATTTAGATATGCATGTCTACATTTAACCATACATCCAAGTTCTCTAAGGCTGCCCCTTGTCTTTTCTTATAAATTTGAAGTTTTACGATTGAGCTGCTTAGTTTCTTGAGTGAGATTAGTGACTTTGGTTTTGTTGTCCTTTTATGCTTTTCTTTTACCTTTAAATTTATTTAGAAGTCTTTAATTAGAGACACAACACCCTCAACTTGTTAACTCAAATTTGCCTAGTTAGCTTAGTTATGCTTATCTTTAATTTAAAAGGTTATAACTAGTAAAGTTTTCATGTAGTGAGCCATTCACTGCATAAAAAGAGGTAATATTCCCTTGTCTCTTAATTTTGTAGTCAGTTTCTTTTTAGTCTATTCTCACTTCCATTGATGTGTGTGTGAATCTTGGTTTTTACTCTTCTTTTTGTGTTGTTTATAATCATTTCCAGGTGATTCTTTCCCCATATATGTGCTCTCTAAATGTTGTACATGTATAGTAAGTTTAGAGTGTTGGATAAGATTTCCCTTTTATGTGACTTTCCTATTACTCTTTTTTTCTGATTCATGTTCTATTTTGTGGCCATTGCTGATTCTAGAACTGATTGAGTAGATATTGGGTCTGGTTGAGCTACACATAAGGTTTTGAACATTAACTCAGCCTCTCAAGGGGGAGTCTTGCAATCGTGTGTTGCTTAGTTTCTTGAGTGAGGTTGTTGTCTTTGACAAAATAATATGAAATTTTGTATTTTTTATATGAAATCCATTACATCTTTTAAGTGTTTAGATTTGTCAAAATCATTTCACTTTACTGTCGTGTCTTATTATCTTAA